ACACACACACACACATACCCACACACACAGAGTCAGAACAAACATCAACGACTCATAAAAATGATAACAATGCACAAACTCCTGGTCCAATCACCGCCATAACCATCATCATCATGATAACAACAACAACAACAACAACAACAACAACAACAACAACAACAACAACAACAGCAATAACTACAACAACAACAAACATGTAAGCAAAAGCAACAAAAATCAAAAGCACGTAGGTGCTTTTTATCCCTTCTTCATATCTCTCCAATGATAGGTTCAAAGTACAGTACAAGACGAGATCACTCGGATAATGACACTTTGAGACAAAACAAACGATACGGACAACAGAGAAAAACAATAAGAACAGAAAAACAAACGTTACAAAATAGACAAGCAAGCCTTACCTGTCGCCAGTGTAAATCCGGAAAGTGTCTACAGGTCTGTGAGGATACCACCAGATGCACTAAAGGGATGAATCCACCAAAGAGGCACTTAGACAACGTCCTCAGCGGCATCAGGGCGTACACGTTGAACACGAGGAACGCCACCACCCAGGAACCCTCCGACATGTTCAGAATGTGCTCCGGGTATCCAGGAGGCGTGCCTAACGGCAACGGTGCACTCAGTATTCCCAAGGAAGCCACAAAGAACAAAATCACGTAGTTCACTGCCATGAAATGATGCTCTTTCATCACGCTTGTTTTCATGAGGATAAAGAATAAGAGGAAGACCAATCCCTGGCCGTAGAGGTACAGGCTGTAGGCGGTGTACGTATGTACATAGACAGAGGTGAGTACGGCTATGCTGAAACATAGGATGGTGAGCAGCGTGACTAGACATACCATCGCTGACTGTTGGATTTTGTAGACATATCGCTGGTACAAGCTCTCCATTTCTCGGCTGCTGAACTGATTCCAGCTAAGGAGCCTGCAGACGCCCTTGTGCTTGGAGTCTGTGCCCTCCTTCAGCATGGGCGTGTTCTCTGTCACCGCCTCAGTCATGATGAGAGGCGCGGGCGGCTGCACCCGCATCAGGCCAACAGATGGTACTCCTCAACGAAAAGAAAAAAAAAGTTTGAACAATCTCTTAGAAAAAGGAATCACAAACCGAAAGTGATAATCTTAAATCACAAATTATTTAATATCAGAGTATGCAGTCGCGATAAAGTCACATTTGTATTTTTAGCCCGAAAAGACAGAACTCTTCCGGTGGTAGTTATTATCCTTATAAAACATTGATACACCCATCAGTGCACGAATACTTCTCCTTGCACAAAAAGAACGGAAAAACTGTTCACGCACTTAATACCAAACGTCTGTAATCAAAACATGAAGGATAGACTTGTCTCTACATTAAACTGCTCATTTCTCCTCAAGATCGTCCTTTACCCCTAAAAAAAGGACAGCGTGCGGATGTTGCAAAACGAACGTTGTTTCACATGTCGTGACTCTTAGCTGGGATGCCCAGCAGTTTTCTCAACCCCTGGGGGGATATCTTTGAGCAGATGTTCCAATGGAAGCAACCTACGGACCGCATGACTCGCACAACTGCGATACCGCACTCCCACGCGAGCTTCGCCGGGAGATTGTTCCTGATGAGGGCGTCTTGGTACGACGTCACGCAGTAGGTATTGTGCTGGATAAACAGTAGATCTAGTTTTGACAAGTTAATAACCGTTGAGGGTCGCTGAACCTTGGGCAGTCAGTCATCAACAGACGCCTCGTCAGTCGGTAACCTGAAGCAAACACAGGAAAACGTGTTATCGGCATTATATCGTCACCAGGTGTAACATGTGGGGGGGGTTCTCTACTTGTCTATGGTTTTTTTTCTTTCTTTCTTTAATATTTGTTTAAATTATCGTTTTGTGCCTTCCATTCTTCGTGTATTCATCCAACTTATATCCATGTATTTACTTGTTAATATGTTACACCATTTCATTAATATTATCACACCCACTGTGTGCAGTCATAACATAATATGACAATTAACGGTTGTGGCTCAGAAAAGAGAACACAATAATAATATGATGCTCTCAATGACTATCAAAACAAGGTCTGAATCCAAGGTGTTAGTCTGAATCCAATGTGTTATTTCTAAGAACATTCTCGACACGTCAGACGTTGTCCATTCAATCTGTCTCTGCAACATGTAATACAAAAGTGCAAATACACAGAAAAAAAACCGCTGAACATTTAGGAATCAAGACCAAGACGTTTGATTTCTGATCCAAATCGGGCGAGAGTTCACTGAGATGCATTTCATCATCAGTTAAAGAAAGAAAGAAATCGATCATGCAAACACGAACAGTATTCGCTTTGCTGATTTTTCCCCCAAGAATTATTCTTTCGAGCAGCAATTTAGCTTTGTCTGGAAACTGATTCATCGATTAAGTTTGTAATATTGGCACTGCTGACTTGATTTTTCCCTAGTGTCTAGTGGAGCGTGATCAATAATGATTTCTTGTTACGCATTCAGACGAGACTGGTTGTACCTGTGGCCCAAGACGCCTCTTTCTCTGTGAGTAGCGGTTACAAAGTCATTGTTGAATTAGAAAGGTTTATTATAATGACACAAAGCTCACAAAAGGTAACGCGGCGAAAAAAGGGAAAGGAGAGAAAGAGGGG